ATTAGTTGCCGCTCATTTTTAATATTTCTTTTTTCGCGATAATAAGCAGCTTGGTCTTGAAAAATCCTTGGCAACAAACGAACGCTCGCCAAGTACACTGGCCGAAATTGAAATGACGAAATATTTCGAAAAGCAAAAAAATATATATACATAAGCTATTTACTTTTGATTAGATTACAATAAATAGGTAATATTAATATTATTATGAATAAATTAATGTAATAGTTAAAGTGTTTTTATTACCTTAAAAGTGCACACGAAATCAAAATAGTTGAACTATAAAGTATTTAAACATTTCTATACAATTTTAATGTTGTAATTAAGTTCTTGCAAAAAATGGTGGATATCTAATAAAAAATTTCTATATAATTATACATACTTTTCTTTATTTTAATAAATATATTTTTGTTCAAAACTGTATATACATTTTTTCTTTTATAATTAGGAACTCTCGAATATTTTCAGCTGAAATCTGGTTTTGGCATCCGCAAGGATGTATCTTTTTGCTGAGTGCCTCCCCATCGCATCGCTTTCATCGAGCGGTAAGCGTTGAGCCAACACAATGGCAAAACACCTGCGGACAAAAGCTGCTTACGGAAATGCATAGCCGGGAAAACCAAGAGGCAGAGGTGGCGGAAAAGCGGGGGCCCGACAAGAGTTATTACATTTTAGCTTTTCCTCAGCTCGTTCGTCTTGCGTTTGTGCTTTCATGTGCTGCAACTTTAGCTGCATTTTAATAAATATGCAATCTAAAAACGCTTTCCACACAAACAAAGCCGCAGCAACCACAGGGGCTGAGGGGGCGCAAGAAAAGCGTGGTTTTCCTTAGTTTTTCCAGGCTGCCAATGCCAAGAGTAGAGGCGTTAATTGCGCTCTCCCAGAGACGCAAAACGCTCAAGAGCGGCCAATAGAAAGCGAGACGACAGCCACATTATGTGGGATCCGTTCGGGCCAGGCCTTAATGGCATGATAGGCGGGTCGGAAATAGGGGGAGGCGTCTGCATTGGTTACACTTGCCACATTTTTAATTAGCGCTCTTAAAAGCTCATTGAATGGTCGAAAAAAGGAGGAAGAAAAACGAAACAAGCTGTCAGTCAGTTGTAAATGTGTGTGAGTGCGGTGGCACTATCACCGCATCAACGTGTGCGTGTGTAAAATGGCCGCATAATAGCAAACAGTTTAAAGGTCAAAAGTTAAAAGCGGAGATGCTCTCACTGCATACAAATAGTCCCTTAACTTAAACCAGTTACTATGTCCTTAGGTCTTACATCATGGTACATTTGTGTTTAATGTATGTAATGTATTGTATTTAATCAATCACGCTTAATAAATGAAATCAAGAAAAAATCGCTCTTGAAAGAGAGATATTTTATTAAAATCATGAAAGATTTACTCTTAAAATCGAGAGGTCTTACTGTTGGAAAGGATAGCGCTTATGATTGAATTCGATAATTATTCTTCTTAAAATCGAGAAGACTTTTACGGAAATTGAGACAACTTATTTTCAAAAAGTATTCTCAAACCAGTTCCTCTTGATTTTCGAAAAACCGCTATCGGCCTGCTATTAAGCACAGAAATAAAGAAAAGCAGTTCTTAAATAACTTACAAATCAATATATTATTTAAACTGCAAACTCTGGGTTGGAAATAAAACCCGAATTTTAAACTTAAAAACTTATGGTATCAAACAATTTGAACAGAGAATTACAAAGTAAATATGTTACAGGTTAATCCCACAATACATTGTCCGAAATGCAACTAATCAGAGAATGCTTCTAGGCGAAGAAAATGTTTACCCCCAACCAGGTGCTCTCAAAGAATGCCAATACCCAACTGGGCGCCAACAAGTGGAAGATTCAAATAGACCACATCTCCGGCCAAAGGGATACGCGTATGGTGGACGGGGTCATGGGGTGTGGGCCATAATGGCAGGTGGATTCCTCCTGAATTGCGGCACTGAAATGCATAGAGAATTAGCCGGAGATGAGCGGTTGGCTGAAGGACGCGGCGCAGTCGAGGCACGTGTAAAAAGGTGGCCAGATGCTGCCTGGTTACCAGCTCGCATCCCCATCCCCGCTGGCTGGGGAAAAGCCAACCCAAATTGCTGGTAAGCCTCATCCTCGAACTCTGCGAGCCCCTCGCCTCCTCCTCCATCGGCTGCCACACACACATCGTTAGGTTGCAGCTTAAAAGCGAAATGCAACATTTATGGTTAAGCTCCCAAAATGGCCGCCAGTGCAGCCAGGAGCGGATGAGTGGGCTTCCAACTTGGCGCGTTGATTGCTGCGGCCACACTTCCGGTGCGCCGGTTCCAGACAGAGATTGAGCATGTTGGGGAGATGATGGATGGATGGCCGAAGAACCAGGTAAATATTCTAGGACTCTCGACCGTTGCAGAACCAATTATCTGGAGAGCGCTGGGGGTTCGATGGGGGAGGAGAGGTTTAAGCACACGACACCACAATATCTACATGCGTTTTACAGGTTATTTTAAACATTAAGCTAGTGGCAGACAGCCACGATGGTCTGGTTAGGTGAGACTTTTGTGAATTGCATCTTTGTTCAATCGGTCAATACCCGCATTTAACTTGAGATTTTAATTGCTTATATTCCTACACATTTTCTAAACGATTATCCTACCCTAAGAGTTATTTTCCGAGACATTTTCTCAGTTTGGGGTCGTGCTCCATACTTGTGGCTTTTAATTTTTTTACAAGATTCTAATTTTCTTCTTCGTTTTTTCATCTCAATCAGGTATTCCGCGATCAATGCGCGAGATAACTCCACAATGATTAAACGATGTATTTATATTTAAGATTTATGATATCAAGCATAGTGCCATTGCGTCACATCCTGGTAATGTAATCCCCTACAAATTGGTACCCTTTTGTGCTTCGATCAAATATGTATTAATGTACCAGCAGGAAAGAAATATAAATAGGTTTTCATAAATAAATATATTCAGTTAATCAAGCATATACGAAAAAGAATTTTAATAAATGTATCTTATAAATATATAGATAAAAATAAACAAAAACTTAATTTAATTATGAAGTAAATATACAATTTGTGATCAGCACATATGTACATATAATGAACCACGTTAACCTGTATAAATTTGTTTAACATAAATAAGTTAAAATAAATCTTTCGAGGATGGACACATGGGTTTTACGTTATCGTATCCTCGTTTCTAAGCTCTAGAAGTCTGAGGCACTGAGCACAGATGCGGAAATTTTCATTTGGATCTTTATTTATATCTTTGTGCTCTTATTTTTCCCCTCTATACCTGATCCTTTCGCTCTTTACTTGTGCCCAGATTTCCTGGCCTTTCCCAGATACTTCTCGTGGGCCTTTTTCTAAAAATACTACATAAAGCACAGATCTATTAGCCGAATTACTGATTTGTATTTCTCTCGGACTAATTTGGTAAAAAATCCAGATACATGGCTGCGTGATCCCTAACCGCCCTGGTCTGTGCCGATGGCGAAAACTGGTTTTGGTGTGGGTGGGGATACTTCTTTGCCAAAGGTGCGGAGGCGAAAAAAAATAAGAACGGTTCCACTCTCTTATCATCCACTAGGGGCATTATTTGCGTTCCACATTTCCCTCCTTGTATGGACAATGTCCTTTGGACAGCCAAACTCAATAAAATTGGTCACCCCATCGTAGTTTCAAAAAAAATTTCATCATGGTTGTTGGTTGAAATCGATTTGATTTGATATATTTGATATCATATTTAAGGTTAACAAAATAAGAAAAGTAATGTAGTATATTTTCTGAGTAAATTACCTTTAAAGTGACCATATATTACCGTCTGGTTCATGGCCGTACGCAACAATCAATGCATCATAATATATCATATTTAATACTTTACCGATCTGAACACTTACGTACAAAATTTTAAAATCATTTCAGTGTATAGCAATGTGAAGGCCTATTTACGCTAGGGTGGAGTTATTGTGTTATGCTGAGCGTTCGATATTTTCCTACATTTTTCCCATTACTAGAGAAAAAGAAAAACAGCTGTTTTGAATAAAACACAGTATTATGTCGAAAGAAAAAGGTAAGAAAGTTTTTGTATGTATCAATAATAAATTAGTTTAAATTCCATTTTATTGGTAGATTCTCGATTCGTGCGGCCAACAACACGCTGTTCGACCCATGGCAGGACAACATTGAAAAATCGATTGCTTGCCCTCCGTATTAAAACCAAAAGAAACAACAGCTGACATAACCAGATAAATGGGTTAGCCAATGTGACTTGGGACAGAGTTTATCTTTAGAGTTGAGTTTTGGAGTTATTATTATATTTGTGTCAGGCTAAGTCGTGCCAAAAAAACATACTCGAGTGCCACTGCACATTCTCTAGTGATGACAATAGGTAAAAATACTAAATATACCGAAAAATACTCTCAACCAAACTCAAACTCAACCAATACTCTACTTTTGCCCATACTTAGTTGCCTATGCAAAACCTATGTGACAAAACAGACTTAATCCCATAACTCCATAATTCTAATACTCCACCTTAGCGTAAAAGTGATTGTAGTTAAAACAGTTAATCGCTTCTGGTTATTTAAAAATAAGACTCAGTTAAACTCTTTTCCAGATTCCCATCCAATTTTGATGGTGAGTTTATGCGATAGTTAGGCGATGATTTTTCGGTGCAACCCTAAATTCTTCTTCTTGGAATGAAAAGTGTATGCCTTCACTACGAAAATGTAAACTTACCCACAGTTCGATATGTATGGCCCAAAATTTAATTTGTTCTGCAAACGAAAACATTAATTTTTGCTGTGTGTGCTTCATGGGAGTCAGGGTTTTACATTTGTCAGAAATCCCAACTGTTGCATTGCACACGCATGCTCTCTGTGGGAAGGGGCTATTATGGACCATCCGATGATCGTATGCCTGATAGTGGAAGTAACTCTGTGGGAAAGGGCTATAAGCCAACGACACTAACTTGACGGATTTTTTTGATCTTTTGAAAATGCCATATTGATGTGTCGGTCACACTTTGGGCGTGTTTATAAACCATTTTCATTTAAATAAACAATATTTGTCGAAAATAGTTATGGGGGCGTCCAACTACAGCACGAGAGTTGCGCTCGGCGTGTCCGTGTTTTCTGTTCTCCTATTTGTAATCGCGTTTTCAACTCCTTATTGGTTGGTCACAGACGGTCGCTTAAACAATCCGCGATTTACCAACCTGGGCCTATGGGAAGTTTGTTTTAAGAACTTCCAGGACATACACAGATTCTATGACAACCGCTTCAACGGATGCATGTGGGTTTTCGAAGAGGAGTACTACATCATACACGACTTTCTTCTGCCTGGTTTCTACATAAGCGTCCAAATATTCGCCACGCTTTGCTTTGTTATGTGCCTCATCACCGTGCCACTCACCATAGCATTCCTACGCACATCTCGTGATGATGACCGATACATGGGGCTGCTGCTGGCCATTGGATCGTGCCAGGTGGTGGGCTCGGTTTTCGGATTTATAGCCGTGGTCGTTTTCGGGGCCAAAGGAGATTCCCGCGACTGGATGCCTGGCTGGCAGAACAACGACATGGGTTGGTCATTTGCCTTGGGCGTGGTCGGAGCTGTGCTGCTACTGCCGGCCGGAGTGCTCTACATGGTGGAGGCCCGGCGGGAGCGGTACAAGCGACTGAACGAAATCTGCAATCGGGAGGTCAGTGAGTACGGAGACGACTTCTACCAGCAGCAGGCACAGACTGCGGCTATTCCCTCGCAATCTTATTTCGCACCAGAACCAAGTCGTCCGCGACGACCTCAGCCAGGTGCTTCAACGTCTGTGCCCGTAGGAGGAATTCAAACAGACATATAGCACTAGAAAGCTCAATATGCATTCATAAAACTTCTTAATCTCCGTCCATTTACAAAATAATTTACTGAGTATTTTACAATTTGTATGTATTTACATGTGTAAGTAATGCCTATTAAAATTATTATTATTATTATTTTTAATTAATATTCTACAATATTTAGTTCCCGGACTACGATACACCTTTTACACAGACCGAGTCCAGCGAAAAAAAGAGCTCTTTACACAAACACCTAATATTCTCAAAAACAAGAGAAGAAGCTTATTCAGCAAGTCGAATATTTACCCTTGCATCTAAAACCATATGTAATTAAAATGCAACTTTTTGCTGAAATAAGACCGAACGATTAAAAATATTTAAGATTTTTACCTGCACGGTCTAGTGTCTAATTATTTTTCGTTGAAGGGATGGCATCATCACTGGGATAAAGGTAGGGCTCAATATCCCAAAAACCTTTGGAGTTCCAAGTCTGAGTGCTATGGAATAGCCTTAAGATAAGATATTTGAAACAAGGAAATAAAATAAGTTATTTTAAAGAAGGGAACCATTTTAAAATGGGAAGCCGAAATAAATTCCCAGTGTAGGAAATGTAAATTGTTGGCCTCTACCAATTAAAATGTTATCTCACAAAAGATGGAGAGCGCCAATTAAAATCAATTTTTGCTTAAATTATCAGCTTACCTAGCTCCGTGGTGGCCGCACTCCAGGAGTAGTAGCCCAATGATGTTTATTGTTTTTCACTTTTTATGCACTTCACTGAACTTTGACTTGGGCTGCCTATGAGTGTGTTTGTGTGGGGCCGAGGATGCCGGTGAGGAACAGTCGATTTCAACTGAACTGTAGATAATCCCCTGACAACAGCAGTTAACAGGCAACGATTACTTGGCAACAAGTCAATTACGACTCAACTGGAGTCGAATCCGAGCCGATCCGAGAATGGTTCCCAAGACCCCCTCCTCCGATAACCGACTTGGACTTGGGAGCCCAATAAATTCCTTGACCAGCCAGTCCCGCTCCTGCCTCAGTTCCTCGAAAGCTCTGGAATCCCCTTTAATGCGCTAACTAATTGACCGGGGCCATAAGGGCAGGAAAGGGGGCGGGATCAGGGGATGGGGTCCTGAGTCGAGCTGTTGGCAGCGTTATCGCCAAGTGGCAATCGCTTGTAATCTGCCGGTAGCTTCCCACCAAAAACTAAGGCTGCTAAAAAGGGTACAGAACTATCGTAAGGGTATTAGACTGGGTACATATCTTATATTTCGATTTGAATTCTGTCACATTTTCTTAGGATCATGTATTAAGAAATGAATACATAAACCATTAGATTTAGGTTATTAAAGACATTTGATTGCCTCATTCTTTAACTTTCTTGTCCAAGATTAAAACCACACTTTATTAATTTACGAAATAAATCAAGAAATATCAAACGGCTAAAAACTGTGTTGCAATCAATCACAATGTTTTAATTGCTATTAAGCGACTATGGTGTTTTTACACATAGAAAGCATTCATATTTTAACAGAGGGTAGTAAAACATTCGATGAATCCTCGATTGGAAAACCAACTTGCTTAGCACAAATTACTTTTGGCGAAATTTTTACAACACTTTTATTGCCTGTCGAATGAAAGGGGCAAAAAGGAGCGGAGGTCAAGATTTGGCTGGCTTTGCGATTTCAGTTATGCGGCTTCAAAATTCAATTAAAAGCCAACATAACATTTCTCTTGTCGTCCTGAGCTCTATTCTCCTTTCAGGTCCACTTTTCCCAGAGTCTGGGGAGCTGAACTCGGCAAGATAAGACAGGAATAATTGAAACAAAAGGGGAAATGGTGAGGCGAGTGAGTAAGCTGCCATAGCAAGTGGTTGCGATGGAGTTTTATCAGTACGAAAACCCTTGCCAACAAATTAGGAAACTTCTTCGGATGCTATTGGTTTTGATTCAACTGAACTTATACTTTGAAAATTAAGTAAAAATATAATTTCCATGTGTTCAAGAATATGGGAGTTCAATGTTAAGTCAGATAAGCTAGTCCAATTATATGGTGTCTTTATGTTGACTTGTAAAAAGTTTCAAATTTAGATACTTTATTTGGTAATAAAGGGCTGAAATGCCGAATAGATTTCCTTTTATGGGTGCACGGAAAACTGTAGTGATAGATAACAAATACTGTTTAGAAGTAATTTAAATATTACATGTTCTGGGGGCTTTAGAGTAAAATACCGTGATACCGGAAACTATAAGAGCTAGAATTTTAGGATAAGACATGCAGATTAAGCATGTAGATTCCAAAAATTCTAGCGCAGAGCAAGTTTTGGCTGCAAAATAAAAATTGTAACATAAATTTATTGGTTTTGTCAATACCTATCGATTAACCTAAACAAATGGCCAAATATTATATTCGTCGCTAGGCTGCGCCTTGCGATCTCGGAAAAATTCGTTATTCCTTCTTTTTCTTACGGTTTCAAATCCTTAAATAAAAAAGTAATTTCAAATATTATGCGACTTTTTTATATCGCTCGTTTTCAATTATTCCCTGCTTTCTAGAATATTTTATTTGAGTATACAGTAATTCTTCAATAAGAAAAAATATTTGTTTTTTTGTATACGGTAAGGGCCGAATTTATTTGAATTCCGGAACGAACATGTGCCGTAAGAACAAATACTAACGTAAGAGATTGTTACAAAGGTGATTAAAAGTATTTGGAATGTTCCACCCCAATTTTAATTTCGTTGAACACTTACCCTCTCCCTGTGTCGGAGTTATTTAATATTGTTATTTTTTTGCATCACGTGCTGGAAATTTGTCTGGCAAATGCTAGGCTGGAAATCATTCAGGCGGTATCAAACAAACAGACAGAAAAACAATGCGGCAAATGCCGAGCAAAGGCGGATTTCATGGGAGAGAAAAGGGGGCGTGAAAGGGATCGAGATGGCAGAGGAGTTGGGCTCACTCGCTTGGCTGAATTTGCATATTTTGTTGCGAATTGCTCGACTGCCTGCTAATAGGAAAATGCGACACACAGGCCAGCGAACTGAGCAGGGACGAACTTAAGGGGTTTTCGGAGGATAGAGCCCCTCAAAAGTATTTTAAGGGATTTCCTTTGGTTCGTATACTTTTCGAAAAGCACATTTTCTAACTATACTTAATAGTAATATATGTATATGTGTATTTTATTTTTTAAATTTTATTTTGCAATAGTAAATAGTTGATTAACTATTAGAAATGGTTTCCCTAACGTAATATCTTCCACACAAAAGTAAATAAAAATAGCTTTACAACTTTTCCCCAATGTGTTGCTTATAATTCCCAACTGGGTCCAGCGTCTCGTACACATAAAGTCACAAGCCAAACTCTTAACAGTTAGGACTTTAATTAAAACATTTATTCATTAAAGTCTTCAACATACTTCCACACTAGCTGGATGTCATGCTTCAGTGACGGTACATATAAGATTACTATAAAAAAATTAACGAACTATATTTTATGGGTTGGATAACTACGAAAATAGTTATTTATCTACAATGCCTGGGTAGGGTCCATTGTACCCTTTATATAGTTACATAACTTTCGAGTACGTTTACGTATTACATAAGAGTAACTGTTTTATTATGTTGGTAAATTTTACCAATCGATTTTTTGTGTGTAAGGTTTTGAAATCTCTTATAAAGGTGTTTAGATTTATGCACTCAAATGCATAACCTCCGAGTTCAATTGAGTCGCATACTTTTATATCAAAATTAATTTGTGATAATTTATAATTTGCTGAAATTTATTATCATTAAACAAGAAGAGACATTTTAAAAATATTACCATTTTGTAGTGGAAACCCCCTTGAAAGTCCATGGTAAGGCCACTGGGTTGGTGCGAGTAGGAAGGAGGACGCTCCTCACGATGGTGTGTCGGCACGTGTTTGTTTTGCATGTCTAATGCGCTTTGAACTAGTCGCTGCAGCAGGGAAATATGTATGTCAAATGTTTAATCAGCCGCACTCACACTTGCACTTGCACTTCCGCAAACACACAAACACACAAACACAGGCCCAGAAAGAATGCAAAGTAGACGGAAGCAAACAAAGAAAACGAGCAAGGCGAGCGTGCATAAATATTTCAATAGCATACTTTTCGGCTACGTGCTTCCAGTCGAACTCCGGATGCAGATCCGAGTTTACCACCGGGCTCCTAGAAATCTCTGCTTGAGTGTGTGTGCGTGCAGCAACAGCAGCGGTGAGAATAGTGAGATCCTTCTTGGACACCAAATATATCACTCCACACAATTAAACGATTTTTAAAAATGTAGTAAAGACAAGAATGTAAATAACAACTTAGACGCTTTACTGACAAGAGAACTGGACCAAACTCAAGTAACTCCTTTTGAATTATTCGCACTATAAAAGTTGCACCGGAACTGTACGAATGAGTGCGTGTGTGTCCGCTCTGCTGCGTTTTATTCAACGTGAATAATTGAAACTCTTTTGCCCTTTAACCCAGAGCCTGACAATGAAGGGCAGCAAAACTTTCCGGATTTCGCAGTTCATCGAGCCCATGAAGTGCAAGCAGCAGGAAATACATATTCGATTTGTTCCGAAATTGGGACTATAAGCGATAAAGTGGGTGTGAGTGTACGGATACTGGAAAAAAGTATTGAGAATATTAAATGAGTATCTTAACTATCCGCTTGATTTTTCACCAATAGGTATTTAACAATCATCAATTCTTTGGTTGTCTAAAATAGAATGCATATATTTCAGTTCCGATTATGCACTCCTTCTTCCTTAAGCAAAGAATAGTAGCTGCGCATTTCATTCTCCACCCAATTTAATTATCCCCACTTCAGCTTCAGTTCTATCAGTTTAGCAGCCGTCGGCGAAAGTTTCGCAATCAGTTTCAGCACCGAGTAAATCTTAAAGAAGATTTCAGCCTTGATTCGATTACTTAAACATTCTGCGAAATCTATGGCCACGACAAACAATTAAAACGCTTTGCCAGCATGACAGGCCAGCCGAGGGTCTGGGAAAAGCGGGCGGAAAAGGCGGCCACCCACGGAGTCTATTAAAAATAGCAGCCAGGGAAAATGCCGGGAAATTGTTGTATTTCGGGGGCTCTATGCGTGGCGGAGACAAAGTTTCGGTCTCAAAGTATTTGGAAACTCATTTTGCTTAGCGGCGATTGTTGTTGCCGTGTTGGTGCTTTTTCCTGGCTTGGCTTTTGGTGTAATTTCGTTGTCATTAAGTTGGCATTATAACAAAATGCCTTTTCAATCACTTTTGACTAAATGCACTGACTACGAGCTGGAGAGCTCCCTTTCATTCGTTGGCTCAGTCGGTCCCCACACGCCCGCCCCTTTTCACCCACCCACACCCCACACCCCATCCCCCTCA